GGCGGCGGCGGCGGAGGCAGCGGCCGCCTCGGTGCTCGGTCCGCACCGCTCCGCTCCCTGGTGTGTTGATTCTTCCCCCAGCTGCTGCCTAATGGAGTCCGGGCGCTGGCGTCACAGGAAATGCCTATACTGCCCTCCTCGCTCACTTCCGGCAGCAGGTATGGAACCTATAGGGGGCTGTCACCCAGCACGTGTGCGTCCGGCAGCCCGGGTAAGGCCGTGTGGGGTGCCGGCGAGGGCGTGCCGGGGCGGGGGGTCCGGCCCCGGGTCGGGTGTGACCCAGCACGACCTGGCCCGGCTGTGCGAGGGCCGCCCCGGGTCCCGGGGCCTGGCGAGCGAGCTCGGCCCCGCAGGAAGTTCGCTGCCAAGCCTCCGGGGCCCCGCGGGGTGGGAGGTCGAGTTCGCGTCCTCGCCTGTGCACCCGGAGTGACCCAGAAAGCAGCGACCAGCTGGCGTGGAGGGGCCCGCGGACGCACTGGCACGGGCCAGGGTGTGGCCGGCCGGCGGCCTGGTTTTTGCAGCTGCGACTTCAGGCACAAGGGTGTGCTAGGCCCCCGTCCACTGGCTTGAGGCTCTCTGCACCCGGGATTAACCACTGCCTCGTTTTTTTAGGGTGGAAACACTTGAACTTCCACAGCCAAGCACTACCCACGGTTGTCGTACCCGTGTCACCAAAGGACAGGGGAGGTGACAGCAGAGGAGACCGTGCTCCACCCTGAGAAGGCGAAGTCGGCTGTCACTGCCTGTCTGGTGGGGCAAGAAGTCTTCTGGTGTGCAGAGGAACGGAGGCACTTGGCTGTGGAGTTTGGCTGTTTTTGTTTTGTTTTCCTTTTAAGTGTTCGCTCAGATGCCTTGGTCCTGGTTCCTGCTTCCTCTCACACAGAGGGGGAGTCAGGCGTCGATGCAGAGCCTGGCTTGACGTTTTCAAGTGACCGGGGTTTCACTGTCTCAGTGTGGTTTCGCGGCTTTCTTGGATGGAGAAATAACAGCAGCAGAGAACTGGGCTGAATGTTACTCAGTGGTGAATGGTCCACAGGACCCCCTCATCAGTTACATGTGTATGGTTGGTAGCCTGTAGATCTGGTATGTACAGATGTTTTCTCTGAAGTTTAGGAAGTCCTTGGTGACTTCCCTTTGGGAGGAGAAATAAAAACCAGCCTCAAGCAATACATCTTATGTCCCTAAAATTTACAATACTCACAACTCAGTAATTTTGAGGCCTTTGGAGGCAGTCCTTTTCAATTTAGAAGTGCAATAAAAATTATCCTATGATTTGTCAAGAATCTTGATCTCTGTTCATCCTGAGACGGGGAAGAGAGACAGAAAGACCAGGGCGGAGTTTCTCATGCTTTCAGGTGTCAGCTGTAATTGCAAGGTGACTCACATACCGTGCTTGTATTCACCTGAGACAGACCTTGGTTCTAGCTGAGGTTACAGGGCACAGACAGTATATCCAGCAGAGCCAGAATTACTAGATAGTTAATGCCTCCACAGATCCCTGTATAGCTACTTTAGAAATCTCATTAACGTAAAGGTTGTTATTGTTTAGGCAAAATTTACTCTTTGCAAAATAGTTTATAGTCATCTGGTAAGTCCCCAGCAGCCTTGAGGATGGATCAGGTCTGCAGCTTACTTTGAATAAAGTCTATAGCTTTTATAAAGAAAAGAACCGTTTAACTACAGGCCAGGCTCACACTCAATAACAAAAGGAGAAGGATGGAAGGAACAATAAATAGGATTTCATTGCCACCCAAGCTCAGTATGTATACCTCAGCTTTTCTTCCTTAGGGGCAGGCAACCAAGGCTGCTCCTAAAACATTTTGAATTGCTAAAGTCCATATACATGTATACATTTGTATTATTTATAGTAAAACAGAGGATGGGAACCTGTTGTCTGAACTCTAGGTCTTTTTAGAGACAGGTTTCAGTGCCACTTGCCCATTAATAATTTTGAAATACTATTCTCCACATTCAGAAACCTTTAGTAATGTCCTGTTACCCACAGGGTATAAAGATCTATAATTGTCTTGATTTCCACAGGCGGATCTGGTCTTCTCTCAGTCTTTCTTTTTGGCTAGCTCTCTTCTTAAAAGCATCTTGTTTTTATTTTATTTTTAGTTAACTCATAAATTATGTGCTACACATTGTACACTGTGCATGTCTATGGAAAGGTTTTACCACTTGCCATCTGTGAACCCTTTGTTACTGCCACTGAGTGTGCTGGGCTTGTTTCTTCTGAAGACCTCCCCTCTGCCCTGCCAGTCCGATTGTATGGAGTTTCTCTGTCAAGACACACACAGCTCCTTTTGAACCTCCTTAGGGAGCGTTTCCTGGCTTCTAGCCTGCCAGCCTTTACTGTGAGTATAATTTCCTGGTTTCTCCCCAATACTGAAGACTGCATATAATCTCATTCACTGACACTCCTTGAGGTCACTAAGGAGTGTCAGTGAATGAGATTATATGCAGTCTTGCATATATTATATGACCTCTTGTCTCCTGGCTTTCTTCTTCCTTCCTCCTACAAAAGCTGGGTCCTAGTATTAAGTACAAATTGTGTCTCCGGGGAAAAAATTGTGTCTGTATTTAGGTACTTGATTAACTTCTGCACTATTGTATGGGACTCTAAATATGGTAGGTACCGCATGAAAGGTAACTTCTAGTCCTGTTTGTTTGGCAGTGGTTTGTTTGGGAAGCAAGGACTTCATTTGTGCTAAGCTGTATTCTGTCACTGAGCTTTGCCCCCTGCCCCCGGAAAGCAAAGGCTTTGGGGTGTGTCACCCTGTCAGGGATGCTGCAGAATCTGCTACTTGGAGGTTATCAAAGTAATTGACACTAAGGCCTTTCCAAGTCTTCCGGTTGTCTAGGGACTGTGTACATAAGAGACTGCCAGCAAATACCTGAATGCCTCGAGGGCAGAATGTGTGTGTACTCATCTTAATGCAGTGCTTTTCAAACCATGGGTTATAACCCATTTGTGAAATCAATGTGCTGAGCCATAATTAGTGTTTTTTTTTTTAAAGTAAAGTAGAAAATTATACAAGCATAATTATTCAAGTAAGTCACCTGAAGATAGGGTGCTTATTTTGTGAGGCTTTTGTTCCAATGACAAATACATGTCTGGGCTTTATAAAGTAAATGCATTTCTTCTCTTCTCAGAAGGCTTTGAGGGCTGGAGAGTTGAGATGGCAGAACACTTGTTGCTCTTGCAGAAGATCCAAGTTGGAGTCTCAGCACCTGAACCATCTGTAACCCTAGTTCCAGGGTTCCAACAGGCATGCACGTGATGTACATACATGCATGCAGGTAAAACATTCAAACACATTTAAAGGAAAAATAAGTAAACCTAAAAAAAAAATCTCTTTAAAGAGTTTGAAAATCACCAGTGGGTGGTGGTGCACTTGGGAGGCAGAGACGGGAGGATTTATGGGAGTTTGAGATCAGCTTGGTCTACAGATTGAGTTTCAAGACAGCCAGAACCCTGTTTCAAAAAACCAAAAACTGTGAAAGAAAACACTGACAATGGTAAACTCATCTGTATCAGTCCTGATCGACTAGAAAGCAATTCAGGAAACAGTAATGACAAGTGACGGGTATATTCCAAGGCAGCATTTCTAATCCTTAAAACTAAAAAAGATACCACCTTTTTGAAAGTGGAGATGTTTTGAATATGTAGGTGTTTATAATAAAACACAAAAGTAAATTTTCACAGATGTTGGTTAAACTGGTAATTATGTTTCTGTCAAGATTTAAATTTAGGAGTTGGGAGTAGAGCATTGTTTACCATACAGAAGCTCAGTGTAGCCTAGAACTCCTGTCCATCTGCCTTACCTTCCCAAGTGCAGGGATTCCAAGCATGCGCCAGTACACCAGCTCCTACTACCTTTTCTTTATTTGAGGTTGTACAGTGGCAAGCTGAACTTAACGAGCTGAGTTGGGCAGAATCAGGACTGAATATGGGAATGTCCTGGAGTCAGAGGGCTTGGTCGGTTTCCTGACTCTGAACAGCCATTTGACTTCACTGTCCCTCAGACACAGTGTCACTTTTTAAAATTGGCTTTTATTTCATGTGCATTGGTGTTTTTGCCTGCATGTATGTCTGTATAAAGGTGTCAGATCCACTGGAACTAGAGTTACACACAGTTGTGAGCTTCCATGTGTTTCAAGATAAATTTAAACCTTCCATCATTTAAGGATTTGAGGACATTCAGTACAAAGATGTCAAGTCGCTTTAATACTGAGCTGAGGACTTGAGCCGCTTTTCTACCTCAACTGTGCCATGCAGCCTTGGTCGTATGCAGCCGTATGCAGACAATCTGTCGGCCTCGGTGAGAGGAGGGAGGGCCCAGTCACTAAGCAGTTTTATCCATCGTCCCATGCAGATCTCCCCAGCACTTGCTTATTTCCTCCTCTCTATAAACATCCATCCTTGCAGTGGGCAGTAGACGGGGTGAGGACACCAGGTGAATCTCACCGG